GGACTGAGAGGTCCCAGCTCGATTCTCAGTCAGGGCACATGCCCAGGTTGCAGGCTCAATCCCCAGTAGGGGACGTGCAGAAGGCAGCCAATCGATGTTTCTCTCTCACATCAATGTTTCTATCTTTCCCTCTCTCTCTAAAAACAAAATGAATAAAAATATATTTTTTAAAAATATATTTGTATAGAACCAACTAGATTCAGTTATCTATAAAAAAAATGTTAGCAGGGATGGGGGGTGGGGGGGGTGGGAAGAGATAAACCACAGAACTTATATGCATGTATGCATGACCAATGGACATGGACAACTAAGCCGGGGACAGGGTGGGGGGGGGGGTGCCAACGGGGTAAAAAGGTAAAATGTCTGTAACAAAAAAAATAAATAAAAATTCATTAAATAAATAAATAAATAAATAATAAAACAAAACAAAAAATGTTAGCAAATTTTTTCTATTTTGCATCAACTGAGCTTAAAACTGTCAACTTATTACAAAGTAGGCTACAAATGAAGAGATAAAGCTCTAATACAGGAATTTTTTTTTTTAATCCTCACCAGAACATATTTTTGCACTGATTTTCAGATAGAGTGGAAGGGAGAGAGGGAAGAAGAGAGAGAGAGAAGAGAAACATTGATGCGAGAGAGACACATCAACTGGTTGCCTCCTGCACAACACCAACCAGGGCCTGGGATCGAACTGCAACGGTGGTATGTGCCCTGGACCAGAATCGAACCCGAAACTCTTCGGTCTGCAGGCAACACTCTAACCACTGAGCCAAACCGGCCAGGGCAAGGAATGTATTTTTGCATAGTACTCATATGACAATGTAGTTATCATACAAATAGCTATTCTAAGGGAGTCTTGATGTCCTTCCTGGGAACTGTCACATGCAGCAAGAGCACTTATGACATGAAGGTGTTCTCCTCAAACACGAGCCAGGGAACCAATGTCTCCTCATTCATGAACCTGGTTCTCCATTCACAAATGACTCTGTACTCAGCAGCTACCTAGATCAGAGAAAAATGAAAACACTATAACATCAAGATCAAATTAACATTGGTGATCGGGCCCATTTTAGCTTGAGACTCAAGTCAAATAGCCCTCCCAAGTCTACACAGTTGCAAGGTGCAGAGAAAAGCAAAGGACAGCATGAACTCATCAATTATAAAACTACTCTCCATTTCATTTCCTCTTCTATCAAACAGGGATGTCACTGTTATGCGGAATAAACTAAATGACACACACAAAGCTCACTTGCTTAGCACTTAGCAATAAGCACTTCGTAAGTATTACCGTCATTATTATACAACCCATTATCTCCACTCATCCTCACAACTCGTTTGTTGGTCAATCTCTCCGCTCACATGCTGCAGACGTAACCTAACAACACAATCTAAATCAACTGCAAAATGAAAACAACCCATCCACAAGTATACAGAATTTCATCATGTTAATGCAAGTGCTACTGAAAATATAAGGCACAAAATAACAACTGAAACAGGGAGAGTAAGGATGAGGGGACGGGAACTGGAGAAGGGAAAATATAAGCCGAATACCCAACTGTTCTTCCTGTGGTCTTTCCCACGCTCCCCAGGCAGAACTCCCTCTTCCCCTGGTGACCCCGCAACGGAGTCGATGGTACCTGTATAGCAATTCTCGGACTGTATGCTCAGTTCCACCCATGTGTCCTCCCCTCTAGACTCCTAAACTCCACCAGAGCAAGGACTGTCTGTTTCCAGCGCCCAGCACGGTCCCTGACATACCATGCACCCCAAGGTACGAGATGAAATGAACTGGATCCTGGAATTTTAAGACTGGGAAGAGCCAAAGACGCCAACCCTTGTTTTCAAATGCAAAAGTGAGACTCAAAGAAGACTGAGAGACTTGCCCAAGGCAGAGACAGTGACTGCCACAAGACTTTCCCAATAAAATCCACGAGCCCGGACTGTGGGTCTGGGTCCCTGCTCTGCACTGGCTCCCTCCGCACGGAACCGGGCTGCATGGCAGAGCCTCCATTAAATTTCACCGTCACAAAACACTATACATGTTAATGCATAAATGTGGAGAACCAGACAAAGATCCTAGTTAAAATTTTGCACTGTTCTTATAGCAATTCCCAACTGCAAAAAAAAAAAAGAATAAAAATCTGAGCAACAAGCAGAAGCGCCTCGCACAGCCACCTGCACAGGAACGTGGTCCGTGCAGACCCTCAGTCCTGCTCTCTGGCACGCACACGAGTGAGGGAGCCTGTCCGCACACCGGGGATCACCGACAACGGCATCCACGGCCCGAGCCAAAACCATCCTTTGGACGGTGCAGACGAGAACGCCAATGAAATGCAAGTGACAACTTGCCTGCGGGACCCAGACCCAAGGGCTCCGTTTGCGGAAGTTCCAGCTGACCGGCCAACAGCCGCACGCGACCTGCCGCCGTCGCCGACGCGCTAAGGAGGGAGCCTGCTCCCAGCAAGTGGGACACTTGGACTCGTCGCCGGGGACACCAGCGAGAGCGCCAAGGTGCCCGACGACCAAATGGCACTAGGATCAGGTGGCCCGCGTCCTTCCAGGAAACCCGCGTCAGCGAGTCCCTAGAAACCGCTGAAAAGCGCTGCACTCGGGGAGGCGCCGGGGCCGAGAGGGACCAGGCACCGCGCGGCCCCTCCGTGGGCACGTCCTGCAAAGGAGGGGGCGTGGGGCCGGCGGACACCGCCAGGCACAAAGGTGGACGTCGGCAGGGGGGCCGCCTCGGGGCGGGTCCGATGCCACCTCCGAGCCTCGGGCCCTCCGCACGCCCCCAACTCAGCCCGACTCAGCCCGGCTCAGCCCCGGCGCTCGGGCTCCGGTCGCGGCGGGGCGGTGGCCCACTGCGTTCAGGGGCGGCCGCGGGCCTCCACGGACCCCGGCGCCTGCAGGCCGAGACACCCCCTGGGAGCGCCCGGCTGAGGCCAGGAGCCACCGCCCACCCCGGCCCGGATCGACCGCCTGCGGCCTTCCCCGGCCTGTCCCGCACCCCGCAGGCCGAGCCGGGCAGGTCCGAGCCGCGACCGGGCGGCGGGGCCCCGACTCCGCCCGCGGCGCTCCAGGGCGGTGGGAGAGCGCCGGGGCTGGGAGAAGGGTCCGCCCGGGCCCGCCGCCCCTCAGCACTCACCATGGCGACTCCCCTGGACCTGCAGCAATCAGCACCCTCCGCGCGCGGAGCCTCCCGCGGTCAGGTGACGCTAAGCCCCTCCAAGCCCCGCCCTCTCTAGCCCCGCCCTCGGGCCTGCAGGCGGCTCCTCGATTGGCCCACTTCTAGGAGCCCTAGTCTCGCGTACTTATTGGCCCTTGCCCAGAACGCCGGTTTGACGGACTGAGGCATCAGCCAGTCGCTTCACAGTATGGGAGAGGGCGGGGCAGTGCAGGGAAGCGGGGACTCTCTCGGAAGCAGGAAAGAGACTGCAAGAGGGAAAGGCAGCGCTTATGGAGTTTGTGAAGAACGGAGGCATGGAAAGAGTGGGAACTGCTCGCCCTCGTTCCTCTACGTCGGCGCGTGCCCGCAGGGTGCGCGTGCGCAGAAGGAAGACCAGGATTGGTGTATCGGGCGGTCTCACGTTCTCGTCCTAGCCAATCCGGATGCAGGGGAAGGGTGGGGCCTGGCCGCCACTGGCGGGCGCGGCGGCTGCGCGCGGATTTCGTCCCTTCGCGGTCGTGCGCGCGTGTCCCTCCCGCGGGAGCCATGGAGTCGGGGCTGATCCCGCGTTTGGCGCGGCGTCTGGGCGTCGCCGAGCCCGACGTGCTGAGGTGAGTGCGGCCCTCCCGGGCGGGCCGCAGGCCGGCAGCGGCCTTGGAGGGGGTGGCGAGCAGCGACGGGACGTCCCCAGCCGGGGCTCCTGGGGTGCGCGCGGGGGCGGAGAACCTCGGCCGCTCCTCGCGAACTTCTCGGGGGTCTGCTGGCAGCGGAGAAGCAGACAGACGGGGTACAGCGCCCGTGGGGTTTCTGTGTGGGCAGGAACCGCGTAGGAAGCCGAACAGGGTGACGGCCGGAGGGCGGGGGTGCCGTGGCGCCGAGCCCCGACCGGAGGAGGAAGGTCGGCCGTGGAACGACGGGGCGAGCGGCCGGGCAGAGGGCGCAGCCTGTTTACCAGCCCTGAGATGGGCAGGACGGAGCTCGGGCCAGGGTGAGAAGTCCGGCCAGCCCCGGCCGGTGCGGCTCTGGGTGGATCGTCGGCCGGCGGACCCGAGGGTCTCGGGCCTGCTCCCCAGCCAGCCGCCCGCGCCTGGGCTGCGGACTCGCCCCCGCCCCAGGGGCCGTGCGGGAGGCCACCGGTCGCCGCGTCTCGTTCCCCCGATGTTCCTTCCCCCTCCCCCTCCCCCCTCCCCCTCCTCCCCTCCCCTCCCCCTCCCCCCCCCTCCCCCCCCCTTTCTATCTAAAAAACCGATGAGAAATAAAGAAGTGAAGCCAGGTGGCTAAAGCGTGAGCAGTGGGGCCGGGACGGAGCCCTTAAAGGGTTTGAAGTGAGACCCCGGGGACCCGGTGATCACCCAGAACAGCGGTTCTGCAGGTGTGGCCCCTGCGCCAGCGGCATCAGTGTCCCCTTGACCCTCGTTAGAAAAGCGAAGTTTTGGGCCCCACCGTGCCTCCCTGTGAGAAACGCTGGGCAGGGACCAGCGTCTGTTTCACAAGCCCCGACGTGCGTGTTGTGTAGGTTCAAGTTCGAGAACCCCCGATTCAGAGGAAGGGGGGAGAAGGAACCCCGGCCTGGCCTGCCCGCCTCTGTGCAGGTGCTTGCTTGTTCTGGGAGCTGAGGGACAAAGAGGGTCGTTTTCGCGGGACTCGGAGAACTCACCTTTGCCTGAAAGTAATACCTGAGCTGGTGGTGTTTGGAGTCGAGACCGCGGTCCTCCCCAGCGAATGTCCCATTCCCAGCCCCCCGCACGGGAGTTAGGCCCAGAACCAGTCCACTGGGCAGTGTTCGCTGTCCACCGGAGTGTTGGACATGCTCTGGAAAGGCGGCTGAGTGAGTATGTTGCCCTCAACCAGGAAGGCGCAGGAGTACTTGCGACTGTCCAGGGTGAAGTGTGGCGGCCTGTCTGCTCGCACCACGGAGACCGGCCGCGCAGTCATGTGCCTCGACCTGGCGGCTTCCTGGAGGGGGTGCCCCTTGGACAGGGTAAGCAGATCCCATTGAATGAATTGTTACACGTTTTAATTTCCGGTTGGACTAGACCCCATCAAAACTCGTGTGTTTTAGAACTTTCCTGGTTATTACGTTACTATTCTGGATGAACTTTTAAACCATTCTGTCCAGTTGGAGGGGGGAAAGTTGTTTGCGGCATTCTTCTTACTGTCTAGTTTCCCCGGCCACAGTCTTCATTATCCACAGCCACCTACCACGCTGCTGCTAGCATCTTCCCAAAGCACATTCTGTGACACCCGTGTGCGTTTTCCTTCGATGTCACAGTGGTTGAGTGGGGCATCCGAAGTCACGTATTGAGACCAAATCTCAACACCACCAGTTACTGGCTCTGTGAGCCTCCAGTTTCCTCATCTGTAAAGTGGGAGTGAGAATCTTTCTCACTGGATCATTGTGATGGTTAAACAGCATCCTGTGTGTAACAGACTTAACGCAGTTCCTGGCACATAATGATACACTTAGTAAATGGTGGCATTAAAAATGCCCTTGGTGCCCTGGCCAGTTTTGCTCAGTGGTTAGAGCGTCGGCCTACGGATCAATGAGGTGCAGGTTCGATTCCGGTAAATGGCACATACCTCGGTTGCAGTTGGTCCCCTGGTCTGGGTCGTGCGGGAGGCAACCAGTTGATGCATCTCTTTCACATTGATGTTTCTCTCTCTCTCTCTCCCTCTCTTTTACTCCATCTGAAGATAAATGGAAAATGTCCTTGGGTGATATTTTTTAGTCCTCAGGATTAAAAAAATAAAATGACATTGGCTCCCAACAGGTTAGCTCCCCACTACCATCACCCTCACCAGCTTCTCTTGAACACTAACCTCATGCTACACCATACAGGTAAATAACTTAAGGCTTTGTGAACACAACAGTTTCCTTCCCCCTGGAGTGCTCTTCTGGCGGGCTCCTGTTGGACTTCCGTGGCCTTCCTTGCTGTTCTATCCTTTGTGACAACTCCCCCAGGCAGAGCTGGTGTTTCTGGGTTATTGACCCTTTGTTTCTCCCCTGGTGTCCACCTCCTGTCCCTGTCCCTGCTCCATGCGCTGCCCCCTCCCCACTCCCTCCTCACCCCAGAGAATTATTGGCGCCTCTGTTGGAAACGGGTGGCTGTAGCTGCGTCTCCTGTGTTCCTGCCGCTCGACTGTGGTGACACATTTCCTATACACTGTGCACGGACACGACGGCCGGTCTAAGTGTGCGAGCCCCGAGCAGCAGGCAGCACCCGACGTGATCGCTGGTGCTCCCTCGAAGCTAACCCTCAGTGCAGGGACTGGCCTTAGAATTCGTCGTGAGGAGTTGCGGCACCAATGTGTAAACTTAATGATTTGTGTGTTTTCCTTTCAAAGGCTTATGTAACTAAACTTTCTGGTCTGAACAACAAGATGTACCAGAGCTGCCTTAAATCTTTTGAGTGTTTACTGGGCCTGAACTCCAGTGTCGGAATAAGAGACCTGGCTGTCCAGTTCAGCTGCATGGAGGCGGTGGACATGGCTGCGCAGGTGCTGCAAAGGTACGAGGTGTACGGGACCTTAGCTGGAAATGTCTGCTGATACATAAAGCACAACTGCCCTGGCCGGTTTGGCTCAGCGGTTGGAGCGTCGGCCTGCGGTGCAGAGAGACCCGGGTTCGGTTCCCGCTAAGGGCACGTATCTCGGTTGCAGTTTGTCCCCGGCCCTGGCTGGTCGTGCGGGTGGCAGCCACTCGATGTGTCTCTTTCATGTGGATGTTTCTCTCTCTCTCTCTTCCTCTCTCTCCCTCCCGCTCTATCTGAACAAAAAATGGAAAAATGTCCTCGGGTGAGGATAAAAAAAGAGAAAAAAAGCACAACTATCCCACGTCCTGTTACTTTTCAGTGTTAAAAAGTAACTAAGATGTTAAAGTGTTAGAATGCCTATCTCTTACATTTAAACAGCTTTTAAGTTCTGATTTGCATTTTCAGTCCCTTTGAAATGCTATTTTCTGACAAGTAATTCTGCAAACACTGCTGTCCCTTAGCTACGAGTCCAGTCTTCCACAGACACAGCAAGAGGATCTCGACTTATCCAGGCCGCTCTTCACCACCGCCGCACTGCTCACCGCGTGCAAGTAGGTGTCTGCTCACACTCAGAGCGGGGTGCCCTTCACGGTGGGGTTCTCGTGCCCAAGTAGTCCTGCTAGTTGGTCTGCTTCAGCACGGCATATTTTGCCATATACGTATGTTAGGAACAGTGGCCAGGTTACCACCCTCGAATCGTCTCACAACACGGCTGACAATGGGAGAGTCGTGTCCGGGAGCCCAGTGCCCCTGGTAGCGTGGAGATGAGCCGTGTGTTCCCACGTCAGGGTTCCTCCCGTGGCTGACGGAGTCGGCCCTTCCAGCGGTGCCGTTGTGCTTTCCCGTTTAAACAAAACAACTGGACTGATCTCAAGAACGGTAATTTATCACATTCTTTTGTAGGATTTTAAAGCTAAAGGTGGATAAAAGTAAAATGGTAGCCACATCTGGTGTGAAAAAAGCCATATTTGATCGACTGTGTAAACAATTAGAGAAGATCGGGCAACAGATAGACCGTGAGTATCAACAGCATGTTTCAGGAATGTGTCTTGTGAGAATGTAAATGCGCAGTCAGAGTCCAATGTTTCTGAACTTGCAGAATGGCTGCTCTCTGGTTCTGTGGTTGGTGTGGACAGGTGCGTTTGAGAAAATGGGTTTTTGTTGTTCAATTAAAATAGCTTAATAAGCCCTGGCCAGTTTTCTCAGTGGTTAGAGCATTGACCTGCGGACCAAAGAGTTGTGGGTTCAATCCGGCCAAGGGCACGTACCTCAATTACAGTTCATCCCCGGCCCTGGTCAGGGTCATGCAGGAGGCAGCCAGTTGATGTGAATCTCTCACGTTGGTGTCTCTCTCTCTTCCTCTCTCTCTCTCTTGCTCTCTCTCTTCCTCCTTCCCACTCTATCTGAAGATAAATGGAAAAAAATATTCTGGGGTGAGGATTTAAAAAAAATAGCTTAATAACTTTTTTTAAAGCCTGTGATTGTCTGAACCCACACTTGGAGAGCAGGTCGCTGCCCCAGGCCTCGGGGGGAGGCGCCAGCTCTGCACACACAGCTGGACTAGAAGGAATTCCCGGGATAGGCAGGATCATTGCCTTCTCCTTGTCCCTAGTAGTTGGTCAGCTGAGAAGTCCAGGTTTTATTTGTCATCCAAAATATGCCCAAATACTAAAGCTGAGAATAGAAAAATCAACCTGTTGACACTTCTTCCTTCTTCCAGGAGAGCCTCCAGATTCAGGCACTCCGCCACGGAAGGGAAGGGGGACAGCGCCGGAACCTGCAGGAAAGGGTGAGGTGTGCCCGTGTGGGCGGGCAGTGAGGGTCGTGCCCAGAGGGTCCCCTGCAGCGACCAGCCTGCGCTGGGTCACGCGCTGACCGGTGTCTGGTCAGGAGGGCACAGCAGAAGCCGCACCGCTTGTCCAAGTCCTGCTTGACCGCCACCGCCTGTGTGCTTTCAGGAACATCACCAGTTCCTGAGAGCTTCCCCTTCCCAACGATAAAAGGCATTAACACCAGCACCCGCTTGCGGGAATGGCGGTGACTGTTGAAAGCCATGGTGCACTCACAGTGCCCAGTTTAGTGCCTGTCGGGCACGAGGGAAGTGCTTGGCAAATGTTACCTGTTACCGGGTGTCTTGGATGCTTGGAGCTTAAGAGCAGAAATCTGGTGTTAGCTGCTGTTCCCACTTTGCATTTCAGACGTTTACTTTTTTCTTACATTATTTGTAGACATAATTTTAAAATTTTTCTCGCAGATACAGAGAAAGTAGTAGAGATCCTGCATAAACCACAACACGATGAAGACCTGACCCTGGATTACGAAGAGTGGAAAAGGAAGATTCTGGAAAATGCTGCCAGAGCACAGAAGGCTGGAGCAAAGTGAGCTCAGCACCCAGACGGCCATGTTCTCCACCCAACCGTGCACCTGCCCCTCGACGGAGGTCGCATGCGTTGGAGTTCTGTTTCAGCTTTTATAACAGGGATCCTAAGACTGTCACCTTAACGGCACCAGCACTGGGGCTGAGTTCTGGGCAGCAGGCTGGCCCCTGGCGGGGGCAGCAAACTCATCAGATCAGCCACAGTCCTTGTTGGCATAGTCTTGGCTGCCCCCCCGATCTGCACGCCTGCAAAATGGATTGGAGCCATTTTACTCTTTTAAGCAAAAGACAAGTCTCCTCTCCGAGCCTATAGAATTCAGGCTGAGTTGTCTTACTGGTTTTATTTAAGTTTTTATGTAAATTTCTTGGTTTTGACTAAATCAATATACAGTACATCCTAAGTTAATAAATATTATTTTTATGTGTATTCAAGCTGCCTTTAACATCATTTGGGGGGACCCCTTGCTATGCCAGATGTGTCATCTTCCCTGTGCCGCGTCCATTCGTGGGACAACGTGGTGTCCATCCCGCTTGGAGTGTGACGTGAGCATGTGAAGCGCTAGCGTGGCACCGGCCACCTGTGTTTAGTGGGTAGTGTGACAGGCTCACAGGCTCTCCCGTGATGAATCACACACTTGCACCACATTAAAAAATCAAATGGACCAGGGTCGATTTTCTTTGATGTCCACGTACTGGAAAACGTAACCTTATTAAATACTTCTTATTTCAAAACCACGGGAAAGAGCCTTTAGGAAGATACGTTGCTATGGGCTCGAGTTACCACACCAGGTGTGATTTTAACTGAAAGACTAACGTGATCTAAATAAATATGTTCATGAAGAATGCAATAAAGTGCCTGCATTTAATCTTTTTTTAATCCTCCCCCGAGGATATAATTTTATTGATTTTTAGAGAGAGAAACATCAGTCAGTTGCCTCCTGTACTCACCCCAACCGGGAATCAAACCACCTTTTCAGTGCACAGGACAATGCCCCAACCATTGAACCACCCAGCCAGGACCGCATTCATATGTAACAACCTGTTCAGCATGTTGCCCTTCATCTGCTCCGAGGAAGGCACCACCTGTCGCAGGACCTGGGGTGCGGACTGGGGCGCCTGCCCTTGTTAATTCTGGACATTTGGCAGTCTTGTGGCCAGAGCAGCGCCACGAGTGATCCCCACGCAACGCGTGTCCAGTGAGCCCTGGGCAACAGGCATGAGTCCCACAACAGCATCTTTAAAACGATCGTGAAACACCAAATATATACAACAGTAAAGGACAGTAATGAAGCCCAACAGTTACTAAGAATTTGCCACTCGCTTAACAACATCTCTCTCCTGAAGTCCTTTAACCTACAATATAACCAGCCTGGTCGCCATCATCGTACCTCACGAAATCAATAGAAAGTCAATCATCAAGTACGCAATTTAGAATTACCTTTCCCTGGATAGGGCTAAAATAATCGTTTTATTATTTGCTTGAGTCGGGGTCAAAACCAGACCCACACTTGACAACGGGGTTGCTAATGTTTAACGATAAAAGCAATACATGCTCATTGTTTAAAAAATCAAATGATAAAAAGTGGAATTCCCTCTCTCCCCATCGCCCACTCTCCACACCCCACTGTTCAGTTTCCTGCGCATCTTAGAAAACTAATGCACGTGGAAGCGCTGCCTCTCCACAAACGGGGTAATGCCACATACGTGTCCTGTGCAAAGAAGGCTGTCGGTACCCATCTCACAGCTGCAGGGTGTTCCCCTACGGACTCCGCGGAACCGCTAGCTAAGCCCACGCTGAGGGGCACCTGTAGGTGCTTTTCCCTGGGCCATGAGCAAGTGTTCGAATAAACATTCTGCATGAATCTCTGTCCACTTCAGGTTTTGCTGAGGGATACCTTTCTGGAAATGGAACTGTCGATTGAAAGTGGGTGCACAGCCATCAGAAGGAAAAATGCCATTTCCGCGTCCCCTCCCCAGTGTGCTGGCTGGAAATCAGCTCCCGCCGCCTTCGAGCGCAGTTCCCGTGGCTGTGGCCGCCACCTACGTCCGCACGCCTGCGCTGCCACCAAAGCAGGCGCCGCGGCAGAGCGCAGAGCGAGCAGCGGGCCAAACTCCGTGATCTGCGGCAGCACAAGTTCTGAGTCACTTTCCTTCCTCCACTTCTCACCCACGAGGGAGGAACCCCACAACCCTCTTTACAAAGTGGAATCCGCATGAGCAAAGGCCAAACGATCTAACACTCCGACTCATCACTTCACCCCGGTCTGTCACTTCTCGCCAGGTGAGCAGTGCGGGCGAGGACTAGGGACACGCTGGAAACTTCCTTAACCTGTTGGCAGCGGTCACCACGTGGAAATGTTTCTGGAGACAGAGAAAAGGGGAAGCAGATCTTTAGACCCATGTTCTAAGAGAAACAAAAAGGCTTAAGCAAGGTTGGCACTTGAGTTTCTTTAAAACTGATCACCTGAAGGGGAAAACGAGATTCTAGCACTTTTTTATTCCCCCATTTTTTGTTCAGATAGAGTGGGAGGGAGGGAGGGAGAGAGAGAGAAACATCGACGTGAAAGGGACACATCGAGTGGCTGCCACCCACACGACCCACCAGGGCTGGGGACAAACTGCAACCGAGGTACATGCCCTTAGCGGGAACCGAACCCAGGTCTCTCGGAACTGCAGACCAACGCTCTAACCGCTGAGCCAAACTGGCCAGGGCGAGATTCTAGCACATTTAAAGCAGGCTGGTCACGTGACTTTCAGGGGCCTGTTTGGAGGAGTAGGACCTGAGATCACGTGTTATCCTTTCCACGTGGAAAATGGATCTCACCAGGGGGTCATGAAATAAAATCTGGGTTATGACCAGAATTTTTGGAATGAAACCAAATGTTATAGAAAACATCAGGGCACGCCCAGCCAGTGTGGCTCAGTGGAGTGAGCGTTGTCCCACCGTCTGAGAGGTCCCAGTTCGATTCCCGGTCAGGGAACATGCCTGGGTTTCAGGCTCAATCCCCAGTAGGGGGCGTGCAGGAGGCAGCCAAGCGATGTTTCTCTCTCATTGATGTTTCTCTCTCTCTTCCTCTCCCTCTAAAAAATCAATAAAAACATATTTATGCCTGGCCGGTGTGGCTCAGTGGTTGGGCATCAACCCATGCACCAAGAGGTCACCGGTTCCATTTCTCGTAGGAACACATGCCCAGGCTGTGGACCAGATCCCCAGTGGGGGGCATGCAGGAGGCGGCCAATCAATGTTCTCTATCATCGATGTTTCTGTCTCTCCCTAAAATCAGTAAAGGAAAAAAAAATTTTTTTAAATCTTGCCCTGGCCAGTTTGGCTCAGCGGTTAGAGCATCAGCCTGTGGTCCAGAGAGACCTGGGTTCGGTTCCCGTTAAGGGCACGTACCTCGGTTGCAGTTTGTCCCTGGCCCTGGTTGGGTCGTGTGGGAGGCAGCCACTTGATGTGTCCCTTTCACGTTGATGTCTCTCTCTCTCTCTCTCTCTCCCTCCCACTCTATCTGAACAAAAAAATGGAAAAATGTCCTCGGGTGAGGATAAAAAAAATATATTTAAAAAGAAGAAGAAAGAAAAACATCAGGGCACATCACAGTCTGCGAAGCAAATGTGGTTTTTGTTTCGGGTGTGCATGTGTTTGACTACTTGTGTTGGTTCTCGGGGTAAAGTACTCCCTTATGGGGTTTTTTTTTATCCTCACCGAGGACATTTTTTCATTTTTTGCTCAGATAGAGTGGGAGGGAGAGAGAGGAAGAGAGAGAAACATCGACGTTAAAGGGACACATCGAGCCCTGGCCGGTTTGGCTCAGCGGTTTGAGCGTCGGCCTGCGGTCCTGAGAGACCCGGGTTCGGTTCCCGCTAAGGGCGCGTACCTCGGTTGCAGTTTGTCCCCGGCCCTGGTCGGTTGTGCGGGTGGCAGCCACTCGATGTGTTCCTTTCACATCGATGTTTCTCTCTCTCTCTGTTCCTCTCTCTCCTTTCCACTCTACCTGAACAAAAAAAAAAAAGGGACACATCGAGTGGCTGCCACCCGCACAACCCAACCAGGGCCGGGGACAAACTGCAACTGAGGCATGTGCCCTTAGCGGGAACCGAACCCGGGTCTCACTGGACCGCAGGCCGACGCTCTAACCGCTGAGCCAAACTGGCCAGGGCTTCCTTACGGTTTTTTAATGACAATCTGAGTCAGTACCAAAATGCTGGAAAGCCACTTCTCTGGACGGCAGTGGTTTCTAAGATAGATGTTATGTCTCTGGGACCAAAGAGTTCTGTTGTAAACAATACTACAAACTTTAAAATCAAGCTCTCCCAGCCCACTTCTGACATGTGGAGGAATCCGGATATCAGGCCGCAGTTGTCACTGAGAACATGCTCTGACCTCACCGCAAGTGTCCCAACAGGCACCAACTAAATGCCACTTTCATGCCCAGTCATTTTGTGTCTGCGGCCTTTTTTTACGGAAGCTAACAGGATTGGACATAAGAGGGTGTTTGTACTGTTTTCTCTTAAACAATCTTTCTACTTGGAACCGAAAGGAACGAGCTACCGTTCCTTCCCAGGACCTGCAGGGGAGACACAGCCGCCTTTGCTGAGAGCAGGTACCTTCCACTTCCTCTGCGCCAGGTACTTCTGCAGCAGCAGCTGGGACTTGAGCCGCACTTTGGACTTGGAAGCTTTGGCCGGCAAGTTATTCAGCCACTCGTGTTTCAGGCACTGGGTGGCGCTCATTCTGCAGCTGTGAAATCAGACAGCGGTGACATTTAGGTGGTGCTGCCTCCTCTGGTCGTCCAACCACTCTTTCAGCTGGGCCGGAAGCCTGAGTCACTGGCTCAGGCTAATCACTGAGGCAGATTCATGCCACGTCCCCAACATCCATGCTCCTCATGTCTAAAACTCCCCTCGGGAGTGCAAGTGAGTCATCAGCAAAATGTCCCCGGGGCTCCGGAAGGCGCAGTGTCCCAGTGACTGAGCACCCCCACCCCCCACCCCACCCCCACCCCACCCCACCCCACCCCACCCCCGGGAGGGAAGCGGGGTCATGGAGGCAAAACCACAGGCCATGTGCCCCATGAGCTCTTAGGAGGGAAACGAACATGAGCTTTGAAGGAAGCTCGTCTCTCCTCCCAGAGAATAAAGTCCACTTGTTCATCTGAATTGGAGGTTTTCCTCCCAAGACCTTTCACAATCAGAAAGAAGCAACTAGCAAAGGCCGGGCAACTCTGAGCTGTCACAGAGCCAAGACCCTGGGGCTCACCAGTCATCACCGACATCTGCGAATCAGAAAACTGACCAGCCTTGCCCATGACGCCTGAGGCCCCTGCTGGACACTAATTCGGCCTCCCCATCAAGAAAAGTTTTCTAGCCCGGCCAGTGTGGCTCAGTGGCTCAGTGGGTGAGCGTCGACCCTGCACCAAGAGGTCACCAGTTCGATTCCCGGTCAGGGCACATGCCCAGGTTGTGGGCCCGATCCCTGGGGGGGGGGGAGGGGCATGCAGGAGGCGCCAATCAATGTTCTCGCTCATCGATGTTTCTATCTCTCTCTCTAAAATCAATAAAGGAAAAAAAAAATTTTTTTTTTAAAGAAAGGTTTTCTAGCCTTTATTCTGGAAAATAACATCTGCATAGCTCGACTTTTTTCAACATAAGCCTGTTAAACAGATCACTTGGAAATGGGGCTAATCTGTAAATACGGCCTTTTCTAAAGTTCCACGTAGAGCCCATGCCCCGAGGTGCTGTTTCATTATCTCCTCTCCGGTCCCTGCTCCAGGAAGCAGATGGAGACCCTGCACAGACGGGTCCACAGCAGAAAGGACCCGCCAGGACACCTGGCTGTCGCTGGCCCCAGTCTGCTGTCGCATCAGAATACTTTATGAGCGACGTGAAATTAAGATACCTTAATTTGCCCAGCCAGTGTGGCTCAGTGGTTGAGCGTCGACCCTGCACCAAGAGGTTACTGGTTCAATTCCCGGTCAGGGCACATGCCCAGGTTGTGGGCCTGATCCCCAGTGGGGGGCGTGCAGGAGGCAGCCAGTCAATGTTCTCTCTCATCGATGTTTCTATCTCTCTCTCTCCCTTCCTCTCTCTCTAAAATCAATAAAGAAAAACAAAATTTTTCTTTATAAAAAAAGGTATTTTAATTTGCCCTGGCCGGTTTGGCTCAGCAGTTAAGAGTGTTGGCCCAAGGACCAATGAGTTGAGGGTCCAGTTCTAGTCAAGGGCACGTACCTTGGTTGCAGTTCAGTCCCTGGCCCTGGCTGAGGTCATGTGGGAGGCAGCCAGTCGATGCGTCCTTCTCACGTTGATGTTTCTCTCTCTCTCGCTCACTCGCTCTCTCTCTTCCTCCCTCCCTCTCTCCCACCCTGTCTGAAGATAAATGGAAAAATATCCTCAGGTGAGGATAAAAAAAAAGATACCTCTTCTCTTTGACCAGCAACCGGGAAACAAAGTCCTTGGCATCTTCCGACAGCCCCTCAAAGGTGTCGGCGTCGAAGTCCCAGCAACAGTTCACAATGAAGTTCATGGTCTCCGCATCTGTGTCCCCTAGGAACGGGGACAAGCCACTGAGTCTGCGGAGGACAGAAAGGACTATCAGCCTGTGAAAGCCACGGCTGCCCACACAGAGACGGGACCGAGAGGGAGTCTACGAGGTCCAAGCAGAACCAACCTGAACCAAGAGGATTCAACAGAGAAACAGCCCATGGCGCCAGCACCAGAAGGGGAGGTTAGGGGAGGAGCGGGAGGAGCCCTTGCCTGAACACTGAAGGCAGCAAGAGTGTTCGGGTAAACCCTGTCATGCCTACCTCGGTTCCCCACCCAGTGAGCCCATTTACCAGGTACATATTGGTTTAATCTAAACAGCTTAGCATGGCCCTGGCAAGTGTGGCTCAGTTGGTTGGGCATCGTCCCGAGCACCAAAAGATTGCCAGTTCAATTCCCGGCCAGGGCACATGCCTGGGTTGCAGGCTGGATCCCCAGTGTGGGGAGAGCAGGAGGCAGCTGATCAATGTTTCTTTCTCACATTGATCTTTCTCTCTTCCTCTCTCTATAAAAATCAATAAAAATATTTTAAAAAGAAAAAAGAAACAGCTTAGCATGTCTCCGAGCCAGCCAGGAGGGTTCAGGTATTCCCAGGCCGCGGGGGCCAAGGGCAGAGAGGCAGGGCACCCCTACTGGCCGGCCTGGGCCTCAAACTCCCCACCTGACGCAGCAGGAGCACATGCAGTGTGGGGACATGGGCATAGTCACTTCACAGTGATGAGACTGGAGCAAAGCATCTCTTCCCTGGGCCTGGGTACAGCCAAGGGAAGGCCACACAGAGGAGGATGTTCAATCTTGGCACAAACCTCTCAGCCCATCCTAACTCTCCCTGGCCAGCTCACAGCACATGGAGCATGGGGGGAGTCAGGTTAGATGGTACAGCTGGTACAGCCCATGGTCCTGCCCAGCCCATGGACCTGGGCTGCAGGTTTGATCCCCTAGGCATGAGGGAGGCAGCCAATTGATGTGTCTCTCTCACATAGATGTTTCTTTCTCTCTCTCTCTCTCTCTCTCTCTCTCTCTCTCTCTCTCTCTCCCCCTTCCACTATATCTAAAAATCAGTGGAGCCCAGCTGGTACGGCTCAGTGGATTGAGCATCATTCCATTGACTGAGCGGTCCCCGTTTGATTCCCAGTCAGGGCACATGCCTGGGTTGAGGGCTCGATCCCCAGAAGGGAGCGTGCAGGAGGCAGTCGATTGACATTTCTCTTTCACATCGATGTTTCCATCTCTCCCTTCCTCTCTCTTTCTAAAATGTCAATAAAAACATATTTTAAAAAACAAAAGAATGCATTTATGCCTGGCAGGTGTCGCTCAGTGGTTGAGCATCAACCCATGCACCAGGAGGTCACTGGTTCAATTCCCGGTCAGGGCACATGCCAGGTTGTGGGCTCGATCCCCAGTGGGGGGCGTGCAGGAGGCAGCCAGTCAATGTTCTCTCCTATTGATGCTTCTGTCTCTCTCCCCCTCTCCTTTCCTCTCTCTCTCAAATCAATAAAATTTTTAAAAAAGAATGCATTTATTAAAAACAATAAAAAAAAATTAAAATCAATGGGAAACTATCCTGGGGTGAAGATTTTTAAAAAGCATTAGTGAATAAATACCCCCTCTCCTTGACCCCTCAATGGAATAACTCCAAGGCAGTGTGTCCACCATAAACTCCAGAGCTCCCCGAAGGATTAACCTTGTTGCCCCAGGCGAGCTACAACACACCTCCCTGCCTGCCTTCCTCCCCCAACCTCCCGCTCTCCTCCTGGTCTCCTGGGCACATCTCCCCGATAGGCAACTCGGATGTTTGCTGAGGACCCCGGACCGAGACGCCCTGTCCCACGGGCACTCACAGCATGTAAGTGATGACACCCACACTCCACATGTCGGTGGGGAAGGAGACGAACTCGTAGTTGACCACCTCCGGGGCCAGGAACTCCGGAGTGCCGAAGTTCACCTTCAGCTTCTCCCGGGGCTTGTACCTGGGGAGGGCGGGAGGGGGCCTGGAGTCAGACCAGGCGGGACGGGGGGCTGGGGCTCAGCCCCTGTGCAGGCCAGCCATTGCCGAGCCCTCATCCCGCCGCACTCGGGGTTCACTGGGGAATCCTTGCCCCGGCCCCTCCTCTAGGCTGCACAGCCTGAGAAGGACAGATGAATGCAGCATGAGAACCGGCTGGGTGCAGGCCTTTGGGGTGGGCTCGCGCTGTGTGCGCTGCCGCGGTCTTGGCGACTTCGAGGTCAGTGTAGGTCCCTCGTGCTGCTAACAGGAGGCTCTGCATGTAGGGTAGGGGTCTTTGGGAAGTCTCTGTTTCCACACCTCAGTTTTTCTGTGAAGTTAAAACTGCTCTAAAAAAATAACGTCAAGCCCTGGCTGATTTGGCTCAGTGGTTAGAGCGTCGGCCCACGGACCAGAGAGTCTTGGGTTTGGCTCCTACTAAGGGCACGTGTCTCAGCTGCAGTTTGTCCCCAGCCCCGGTTGGGGTCGTGTGGGTGGCAACCACTCGATGTGTCTCTCTCACACCGATGTTTCTCTCTCTCCCTTTCTCCTTCTCTCGATTTAAAAAATGTAATGGGAAGTTCCTATTGGCCAGGCACCATGTGACTGACAGACCATGCACCCAATGCCAAGGGTCTGACACTGCCCTGCTGAGAACCCGCCCCACCGGGAGTGCCCGCCTTGGACTCAGAGCCCTAGGAGGTCAGTGCTTACCGCACACTGGACTGTGCAGGGCTGAAAACTGTCCTCCACTAGGCGTTGGACATTTTAAAAGACTCTTAGATGTTTTAAAATAACATACGTTACTCACTTTCTGCACCAGCACCTGAGAACCAGACCACCCTCCTCGGATGGCTCTGGACTGTCATGTACGGTCTCATTTAACCTCATAGCTGCCCGTCAGGAGGGACTTCATCATATCACCCTTTTACCCAAACCGATCCCAGCCCTGAGTGCCCCAGCCACTCATCTGCGGGGTCACCTACACAGTCACCCAGTGTAACCCAGTCATTTCCCGGAGGGCAGGGATGGTGACAGGGGCATCCCATAGCCCAGCACCACCTGGGCCCAGAGGCCAGAGCAATGAATACAACCTAACTGCCCAGCACCTCATTCAGCAGCCCCCTTTGACCATCACTGCCCGCTCTGCTCACACAGGTGGTCTGAAGGAAAAGCAGAGCCCAGGGCACCACACTGACCCCTGCGGTGGTTACACTCTAAGGCTACCAACCTCCTGAGAGAGTGGTCTCATGTGGATCCCCAACTCCAAAAGTGGCTGCAAGGGAGCCAGAGAGAGCCCCCGCCGAGTTCTAAGTGCTGAAATACAACCCCTTACCTTCTGGCCAGCCCAAAGTCAATGATCTTTATTTGGTGTCCTGTCTGATTGACACACAGTATGTTCTCCGGCTGGGAAAGAAACAGAAGGCTGCTTAGGTTCAATGCACAACGGATCAGATCTGCAGCTCCCACTCTTGTTGGTCAAGAGGCCTCAGCTTCCCAGCTTCCCAGGGAAATGAATGGCTCAGGCAACTCTACAGGGATGGATGGATGGATGGATGGATGGATGGATGGATGGATGGATGAATGGATGGACGGATGGACGGATGGACGGATGGGAGGGTTGATGGGAGGGTGGATGGGTGAATAGATGGGTGAATGGATGGATGGATGGATGAATAGGTGGATGGATGGATGGATGGATGGATGGATGGATGGATGAATAGGTGGATGGATGGATGGATGGATGGATGGATGGATGGATGGATGGATGGATGAATAGGTGGATGGATGGATGGGTGGATGGATGGGTGGATGGATGGATGGATGAATAGGTGGATGGATGAATAGGTGGATGGATGGATGGATGGATGGATGGATGAATAGGTGGATGGATGGATGGATGGATGGATGGATGGATGGATGGATGGATGAATGGATGGGTGGGTGGATGGATGGATGTATGGATGGATGGATGGATGAATAGGTGGATGGATGGATGGATGGATGGATGGATGGATGGATAGGTAGATGGATGGATGGATAGGTGGATGGATGGATGGATGGATGGATGGATGGATGGATGGATGAATAGGTGGATGGATGGATGGATGAATAGGTGGATGGATGGATGGATGGATGGATGGATGGATGGATGGATCACTCACATAGGTATGTTATCCACGTTTTACAAAACCTATCCCAGCCCTGAGTGGCCCAGAGCGTCAGCGGGGCTTGCCCGCCCTGGACTCCAGAGTGGGAAATGGCAGGGACAGGAACGGAAGCCGGGCGTCTGCTGGCAGAGCTCTGAGAGACGAGGGAGCAGCAGAGGCACGGGGACCCGGGGCCCACCCGCCGCCCGTGGCTGGAGCCCGACCTTGAGGTCCAGGTGCAGGATGTAGTGCTGATGGAGGTGGTGCACGCCCTCACAGATCTGCTTGGTGAACAGGATCACGTCCAGTTCGGTCAGGTGGTACCTCTCATCCGTGATGCGGTCAAAGAGTTCACCCCCGTCCACGCTGCCGGGCAGAAGGACAGGCAGACACCAGACTGAGGCAGCGCTCAGAGAATGTGCCCGTTCTCAGCACCAACCCAGGGGAGCCCCAGGGCGCTGCTGTCATCTGGAGTCTCGCGGGGACCTTTGCTCCGGCCCCGTCTCAGCTCAGAGTACAGGCTGCTGAAAGGAAGTGACAGGCCCAGGGGGGGCTGGGTTTCCTCAGGGGACCATCCGGCTCACTCTGGGTGCCTCAGGCCAAGGCTGCAAACTCATTTGCCCACAGGGGCCCATTAGTACCGACAAGGCAAGAACCCCAAAAGGGCAAACCGGACCCATTTCCGGCATTACTCGATCGTCAAGAAAAGCCAGACACCTGCATTCGAGTGAAATTTCCGTTTCCAAATCCAAACGACTCACACACTGCGTGGGCCAAACTGACACACAGGTCGCCCGCCTCCCTGGCCGCTTTGTGACAAGTGGCTTTGTCTTCCACGCTACTGGAGGCTGAGAGATGACAGCGTTTCCCGGTTGTCCCAGGCAGGGGACAGGAAGTAGAGCTTCGCCTAGAACCTGCGCCCGGCCCGGCCCCGGCCCCGGCGGCGGAGAAGCCGCGCCACCGCCGACACTCACTACTCCATGACCAGCGTGAAGCTGCCCTTGCTCTCGAAGGCGTCGTAGAGCTGGATCAGGTTGACGTGGCTCAGCTGGTTCATGATGGCGATCTCGTTCTTCACGTCCTCCTGCAGAGCCGGAGGGGAGGGAGCGTCCGAGGAACGGGTCAGGAAGCGGGCCCAGGCGCACCAAGCAGGGCACGGCATGGACACGCACCTGTGCCCGCCCCACACCGGTCCTGCTCCTCCAGGTCTCCTTGACTCCCCACCCACATCGGCTTCTCACAGCAGAGAGCCCTTTGCCAGACCCACCCACTTCACAGATGGGGCCAGAGGAGCAAGGCTGGAGGCCCGGGAGGACCCTGTCGCTCAGGGCGCCAAGGGCCCTGCAAACTAGGGTGTGGGCGTCATGGAAAAGAGGCAGGAAAGGCGCCGTTTTTCTGCTCAGCGTGAGGGGTCTGGGCAGCTGGGCCTGGGTGCTAAGAGGCAGTGATGAGTCCCGAGCTCGGCCAGAGGCCCGGCTGGCCCGAGGCGGACGCTCACCCGATCCTTGGCGCTCTTCACTTTGATGATCTTGGCGGCCAGCGACAGGCCCGTGGACTTCTCCGTGCACCTGTGGACCTGACCGAACCGGCCCCTGCAGGCACAAAGACACAGTAGCCGAGAGCCCCTGAGGCTCACCCGCCACAGCAGGCCACCCTGTCCCCATTCCCCCGCACTGTTTCAGCCCCATCTCCCCTCCACACACACCCAGGGTGCTTGGGTCATCACGCACACTCCACACGGGCGCCCTAAAACCAGACAGGATCTGCCTCACCCATACCACCCAGGCCGTCCTGCACCACCGGGCCGAGCTTCACCCTGGAAGACATCCTTCGTACCCCACCCCATGTGGGTCCCCTGTTGCCTCCAGTATTCGGTCCCCATCTCCACACTAAGGGCCCTCCTGCACTAGGGGCTGTTCTCACCCCTCCCCCATGGCTGTGGTCTCCCTCTCCGGATATCCCATCCCAGCCTGGCCCACCAACCAGTTCCTGAGAAACACCTGGCAGCCCGCTGGCTCTCCAGGCCTCTGCCCCAGACCCCTGCTCCTGCCCGCCATCAAGGTAGAAACCCACCTACCCTCCCAAGACTTCATCCTGGCACACGGTGTAACCTGCCGAGGCCGCAGTCTCCTTGACGCTCACCATCCGGTGCTCAAAAGGGGCTGGCGGGGCTGGACTGTCATCTGCTCGGAAGACAGCAGCCAGTGAGCCTCTGCCTTGTGGCCCCGCCTCACAGCCCCCCATCCCAGACCCCCTTGGTCCAAACCACAAGCCTTTGGTCCTTTGCAAGGATCACCTCCTTCAAGCCACCCATTTGGCAGAGGGGAAAGTTGAGTCCCAGAGAGGAGAGGTGACTGACCCAAGGTCACATGGGATTCCGACCTGGTCTCCCTGCACCTACAACAGGGCCCTTTGCCACACGGAGAGGGCAGGTCCTATCCGTTCCCGGAAGTCAGGAAGGGGCCGCGGTGGGTCAGTGCGGCGGGGAACGGAAGGCCCAGTGAACAGGGTGACGAAGCAGGTTAATGACGGTGCAGGCAGGGCTGCGGGAGCCACGAGGGAGGTGCCAGGGAGGCAGCTGGAGCAACAAACCCCACCCCTCCTCTTGCCCTTGGATGTCCCCATAGGGCCAGTGGCCCCGGCGTGGGCTGGGGGACAGTGGTCTGGAGGGGAATGGAGGACACCAGCACTTGGGAAGATCAAAGCAGATTGGAGTTGTTTGTCCAACTCGTCCTTCAGAGGTGATAGGAAACCAGAAATGTTGCGTGAACTAGAGCAGAGAAATGAGCCAGAACCTATAACACACCCCGAACAGTGACAGTCACTGTGTGCGGCGGGGCGGGAGGTCAGCAGCTGGGCTGACGTCTTCCAGGAGCAACTCCCATACCTCGGACACTGAGAGCACACACGGTTTTCCCTCCCCGTCTCTGCCCCCAGCACAGGTCTGCAGGGTTTCCCTCCATTGGTCTCTGCCCCCAGCACAGGTCTGCAGGGTTTCCCTCCATTGGTCTCTGCCCCCAGCACAGGTCTGCAGGGTTTCCCTCCCGTCTCTGCCCCCAGCACAGGTCTGCAGGGTTTCCCTCCCGTCTCTGCCCCCAGCACAGGTCTGCAGGGTTCCCTCCATTGGGCTCTGCCCCCAGCACAGGTCTGCAGGGTTTCCCTCCATTGGACTCTGCCCCCAGCACAGGTCTGCAGGGTTTCCCTCCATTGGTCTCTGCCCCCAGCACAGGTCTGCAGGGTTTCCCTCCATTGGTCTCTGCCCCCAGCACAGGTCTGCAGGGTTTCCCTCCATTGGTCTCTGCCCCCAGCACAGGTCTGCAGGGTTTTCCCTCCATTGGTCTCTGCCCCCAGCACAGGTCTGCAGGGTTTTCCCTCCATTGGTCTCTGCCCCCAGCACAGGTCTGCAGGGTTTCCCTCCATTGGTCTCTGCCCCCAGCACAGGTCTGCAGGGTTTCCCTCCATTGGTCTCTGCCCCCAGCACAGGTCTGCAGGGTTTCCCTCCATTGGTCTCTGCCCCCAGCACAGGTCCCAGCACAGGTCTGCAGGGTTTCCCTCCATTGGTCTCTGCCCCCAGCACAGATCTGCAGGGTTTCCCTCCCGTCTCTGCCCCCAGCACAGGTCTGCAGGGTTTCCCTCCCCTCTCTGCCCCCAGCACAGGTCTGCAGGGTTTCCCTCCATTGGTCTCTGCCCCCAGCACAGGTCTGCAGGGTTTCCCTCCATTGGTCTCTGCCCCCAGCACAGATCTGCAGGGTTTCCCTCCATTGGTCTCTGCCCCCAGCACAGGTCTGCAGGGTTTCCCTCCATTGGTCTCTGCCCCCAGCACAGGTCTACAGGGTTTCCCTCCCCGTCTCTGCCCCCAGCACAGGTCTGCAGGGTTTCCCTCCATTGGTCTCTGCCCCCAGCACAGGTCTGCAGGGTTTCCCTCCATTGGTCTCTGCCCCCAGCACAGGTCTGCAGGGTTTCCCTCCATTGGTCTCTGCCCCCAGCACAGGTCTGCAGGGTTTCCCTCCATTGGTCTCTGCCCCCAGCACAGATCTGCAGGGTTTCCCTCCCGTCTCTGCCCCCAGCACAGGTCTGCAGGGTTTCCCTCCATTGGTCTCTGCCCCCAGCACAGGTCTGCAGGGTTTCCCTCCATTGTCTCTGCCCCCAGCACAGGTCTGCAGGGTTTCCCTCCATTGGTCTCTGCCCCAGCACAGGTCTGCAGGGTTTCCCTCCATTGGTCTCTGCCCCCAGCACAGGTCTGCAGGGTTTCCCTCCATTGGTCTCTGCCCCCAGCACAGGTCTGCAGGGTTTCCCTCCATTGGTCTCTGCCCCCAGCACAGGTCTGCAGGGTTTCCCTCCATTGGTCTCTGCCCCCAGCACAGGTCTGCAGGGTTTCCCTCCATTGGTCTCTGCCCCAGCACAGGTCTGCAGGGTTTCCCTCCATTGTCTCTGCCCCCAGCACAGGTCTGCAGGGTTTCCCTCCATTGGTCTCTGCCCCCAGCACAGGTCTGCAGGGTTTCCCTCCATTGGTCTCTGCCCCCAGCACAGGTCTGCAGGGTTTCCCTCCATTGGTCTCTGCCCCCAGCACAGGTCTGCAGGGTTCCCTCCCTGTCTCTGCCCCCAGCACAGGTCTGCAGGGTTTCCCTCCATTGGTCTCTGCCCCCAGCACAGGTCTGCAGGGTTTCCCTCCATTGTCTCTGCCCCCAGCACAGGTCTGCAGGGTTTCCCTCCATTGGTCTCTGCCCCCAGCACAGGTCTGCAGGGTTTCCCTCCATTGGTCTCTGCCCCCAGCACAGGTCTGCAGGGTTTCCCTCCATTGGTCTCTGCCCCCAGCACAGGTCTGCAGGGTTTCCCTCCCGTCTCTGCCCCCAGCACAGGTCTGCAGGGTTTCCCTCCATTGGTCTCTGCCCCCAGCACAGGTCTGCAGGGTTTCCCTCCATTGGTCTCTGCCCCCAGCACAGGTCTGCAGGGTTTCCCTCCATTGGTCTCTGCCCCCAGCACAGGTCTGCAGGGTTTCCCTCCCATTGGTCCTCTGCCCCCAGCACAGGTCTGCAGGGTTTCCCTCCATTGGTCTCTGCCCCCAGCACAGGTCTGCAGGGTTTCCCTCCCCTGCTTCTGCCCCCAGCACAGGTCTGCAGGGTTTCCCTCCATTGGTCTCTGCCCCCAGCACAGGTCTGCAGGGTTTCCCTCCATTGGGCTCTGCCCCCAGCACAGGTCTGCAGGGTTTCCCTCCATTGTCTCTGCCCCCAGCACAGGATCTGCAGGGTTCCCTCCCCTCTCTGCCCCCAGCACAGGTCTGCAGGGTTCCCTCCATTGGTCTCTGCCCCAGCACAGTTGCAGGGTTTCCCTCCACCGTCTCTGCCCCCAGCACAGGTCTGCAGGGTTTCCCTCCATTGGTCCTCTGCCCCAGCACAGGTCTGCAGGGTTTCCCTCCATTGGTCTCTGCCCCCAGCACAGGTCTGCAGGGTTTCCTCCATTGGTCTCTGCCCCCAGCACAGATCTGCAGGGTTTCCCTCCCGTCTCTGCCCCCAGCACAGGTCTGCAGGGGTTTCCCTCCATTGTCTCTGCCCCCAGCACAGGTCTGCAGGGTTTCCCTCCATTGGTCTCTGCCCCCAGCACAGGTCTGCAGGGTTTCCCTCCATTGGTCTCTCTGCCCCCAGCACAGGTCTGCAGGGTTTCCCTCCATTGGTTCTCTGCCCCCAGCACAGATCTGCAGGGTTTCCCTCCATTGGTCTCTGCCCCCAGCACAGGTCTGCAGGGTTTCCCTCCATTGGTCTCTGCCCCCAGCACAGGTCTGCAGGGTTTTCCCTCCATTGGTCTCTGCCCCAGCACAGATCTGCAGGTTTCCCTCCCGTCTCTGCCCCAGCACAGTCTGCAGGGTTTCCCTCCATTGGTCTCTGCCCCCAGCACAGGTCTGCAGGGTTTCCCTCCATTGGTCTCTGCCCCCAGCACAGGTCTGCAGGGTTTCCCTCCCGTCTCTGCCCCCAGCACAGATCTGCAGGGTTTCCCTCCATTGGTCTCTGCCCCCCAGCACAGGTCTGCAGGGTTTCCCTCCATTGGTCTCTGCCCCCAGCACAGGTCTGCAGGGTTTCCCTCCATTGGTCTCTCTGCCCCAGCACAGATCTGCAGGGTTTCCCTCCCTGTCTCTGCCCCCACACAGGTCTGCAGGGTTTCCCTCCATTGGTCTCTGCCCCCAGCACAGGTCTGCAGGGTTTCCCTCCCGTCCTGCCCCCAGCACAGTTCTGCAGGGTTTCCCTCCATTGGTCTCTGCCCCCAGCACAGGTCTGCAGGGTTTCCCTCCATTGGTCTCTTGCCCCCAGCACAGGTCTGCAGGGTTTTCCCTCCATTGTCCTCTGCCCCCAGCACAGGTCTGCAGGGTTTCCCTCCTTGGTCTCTGCCCCCAGCACAGGTCTGCAGGGTTTCCCTCCATTGGTCTCTGCCCCCAGCACGGTCTCTGCAGGGTTTCCCTCCATTGGTCTGCCCCAGCACAGGTCTGTCAGGGTTTTCCCTCCATTGGTCTCTGCCCCCAGCACAGGTCTGCAGGGTTGCCCTCCATTGGTCTCTGCCCCCAGCACAGGTCTGCAGGGTTGCCCTCCATTGGTCTCTGCCCCCAGCACAGGTCTGCAGGGTTGCCCTCCATGGTCTCTGCCCCCAGCACAGGTCTGCAGGTTGCCCTCCATTGGTCTCTGCCCCCAGCACAGGTCTGCAGGGTTTGCCCCTCCATTGGTCTCTGCCCCCAGCACAGGTCTGCAGGGTTTTCCCCTCCATTGGTCTCTGCCCCCAGCACAGGTCTGGCAGGGTTTCCCTCCATTGGTCTCTGCCCCCAGCACAGGTCTGCAGGGTTTCCCTCCATCGGGTCTCTGCCCCCAGCACAGGTCTGCAGGGTTTCCCTCCATTGGTCTCTGCCCCCAGCACAGGTCTGCAGGGTTTCCCTCCATTGGTCTCTGCCCCCAGCACAGGTCTGCAGGGTTTCCCTCCCGGTCTCTGCCCCCCAGCACAGGTCTGCAGGGTTTCCCTCCATTGGGCTCTGCCCACCAGCACAGGTCTGCAGGGTTTCCCTCCATTGGTCTCTGCCCCAGCACAGGTCTGCAGGGTTTCCCTCCATTGTCTCTGCCCCCAGCACAGGTCTGCAGGATTTCCCTCCATTGGTCTCTGCCCCCAGCACAGGTCTGCAGGGTTTCCCTCCATTGGTCTCTGCCCCCAGCACAGGTCTGCAGGGTTTCCCTCCATTGGTCTCTGCCCCCAGCACAGGTCTGCAGGGTTTCCCTCCATTGGTCTCTGCCCCCAGCACAGGTCTGCAGGGTTTCCCTCCATTGGTCTCTGCCCCAGCACAGGTCTGCAGGGTTTCCCTCCATTGGTCTCTGCCCCCAGCACAGATCTGCAGGGTTTCCCTCCCGTCTCTGCCCCCAGCACAGGTCTGCAGGGTTCCCTCCATTGTCTCTGCCCCCAGCACAGGTCTGCAGGGTTTCCCTCCATTGGTCTCTGCCCCAGCACAGGTCTGCAGGGTTTCCCTCCATCTCTGCCCCCAGCACAGGTCTGCAGGGTTTCCTCCATTGGTCTCTGCCCCCAGCACAGGTCTGCAGGGTTTCCCTCCATTGGTCTCTGCCCCAGCACAGGTCTGCAGGTTTCCCTCCATTGGTCTCTGCCCCAGCACAGATCTGCAGGGTTTCCCTCCATGGTCTCTGCCCCCAGCACAGGTCTGCAGGGTTTCCCTCCATTGGTCTCTGCCCCCCAGCACAGGTCTGCAGGGTTTCCCTCCATTGGTCTCTGCCCCCAGCACAGATCTGCAGGGTTTCCCTCCATTGGTCTCTGCCCCCAGCACAGGTCTGCAGGGTTTCCCTCCATTGGTCTCTGCCCCCAGCACAGGTCTGCAGGGTTTCCCTCCATTGGTCTCTGCCCCCAGCCACAGGTCCTGCAGGGTTTCCCTCCATGGTCTCTGCCCCCAGCACAGGTCTGCAGGGTTTCCCTCCATGGTCTCTGCCCCCAGCACAGAGTCTGCAGGGTTTCCCTCCATTGGTCTCTGCCCCCAGCACAGGTCTGCAGGGTTTCCCTCCATGGTCTCTGCCCCCAGCACAGGTCTGCAGGGTTTCCCTCATTGGTCTCTGCCCCCAGCACAGGTCTGCAGGGTTTCCCTCCATTGGTCTCTGCCCCAGCACAGGTCTGCAGGGTTTCCCTCCATTGGTCCTCGGCCCCCAGCACAGGTCTGCGGTTTCCCTCATGGTCTCTGCCCCCAGCACAGATCTGCAGGGTTTCCCTCCATTGGTCTCTGCCCCCAGCACAGGTCTGCAGGGTTTCCCTCCATTGGTCTCTGCCCCCAGCACAGGTCTGCAGGGTTTCCCTCCATTGGTCTCTGCCCCCAGCACAGATCTGCAGGGTTTCCCTCCCGTCTCTGCCCCCAGCACAGGTCTGCAGGGTTTCCCTCCATGGTCTCTGCCCCCAGCACAGGTCTGCAGGGTTTCCCTCCCGTGCTCTGCACCCAGCACAGGTCTGCAGGGTTTCCCTCCATTGGTCTCTGCCCCCAGCACAGGTCTGCAGGGTTTCCCTCCATTGGTCTCTGCCCCCAGCACAGGTCTGCAGGGTTTCCCTCCATTGGTCTCTGCCCCCAGCACAGGTCTGCAGGGTTGCCCTCCATTGGTCTCTGCCCCCAGCACAGGTCTGCAGGGTTTCCATCCATTGGTCTCTGCCCCCAGCACAGGTCTGCAGGGTTTCCCTCCATTGGTCTCTGCCCCCAGCACAGGTCTGCAGGGTTTCCCTCCATTGGTCTCTGCCCCCAGCACAGGTCTGCAGGGTTTGCCCTCCATTGGTCTCTGCCCCCAGCACAGGTCTGCAGGGTTGCCCTCCATTGGTCTCTGCCCCCAGCACAGGTCTGCAGGGTTGCCCTCCATTGGTCTCTGCCCCCGCACAGGTCTGCAGGGTTGCCCTCCATTGGTCTCTGCCCCCAGCACAGGTCTGCAGGGTTGCCCTCCATTGGTCTCTGCCCCCAGCACAGGTCTGCAGGGTTGCCCTCCATTGGTCTCTGCCCCCAGCACAGGTCTGCAGGGTTGCCCTCCATTGGTCTCTGCCCCCAGCACAGGTCTGCAGGGTTTCCCTCCCGTCTCTGCCCCCAGCACAGGTCTGCAGGGTTTCCCTCCATTGGTCTCTGCCCCCAGCACAGGTCTGCAGGGTTTCCCTCCATTGGTCTCTGCCCCCAGCACAGGTCTGCAGGGTTTCCCTCCATTGGGCTCTGCTCCCAGCACAGATCTGCAGGGTTTCCCTCCATTGGTCTCTGCCCCCAGCACAGGTCTGCAGGGTTTCCCTCCATTGGTCTCTGCCCCCAGCACAGGTCTGCAGGGTTTCCCTCCATTGGGCTCTGCCCCCAGCACAGGTCTGCAGGGTTTCCCTCCATTGGTCTCTGCCCCCAGCACAGATCTGCAAGGTTTCCCTCCATTGGTCTCTGCCCCCAGCACAGGTCTGCCCCGGCTTTGACAGCACAGGACTCCTTCTGGTCGTTCCTGCCCAGGCCAGCCCTGCCCTGGACTCCAAGGGCCCATATTGTGGCTGTTTTTCTTTTTCCAGCCCCCAGGAAGGCCGGGAGGGCTTGGAGTCGGTGGGTGGGACACCCCAAAGCTGGAAGCCAGTCTCCAGGTCACTTCGCTGCCGTGCCCTGAGCAGCGGTGCAGCTGCCTCTCCACGCGGGGAGCAGCCAGGGCCAGAGCCTGGCTCCATCACACCCACCCTGCGGCCCGGAGCGCGCCTCTCCACCTGGCCTGCGTTCCATCTGTCCCCTCCCACAGCCCCAGAGGACCGAGGCCGCACCTCTGCGTGGTGCTCGCACAGCGCGTCCTCAGTGAGCCTGAGCTTTACCACCATCCTGGCTCAGAAAAGCCTCCAGAGTCCCAGCTGCTGTCCGCTGCAGGACACGGAGGCCTGTGGCCACATTTCCTAGGTGGGATGCAGCAGCTGGTGATGTCTGCATGACAGGACAGGGGTGGAGCTGAGTGACAAGGGGCACCAAGATGACCGCGGGCCGCAGCTTCCTCGGGGCCCTGCAGAGGCCCCCAGGTGGCTTTCCTGCAGCCACGCGGGAGGGGCGTGTGCCCCCGAGGACTGGAGGAGTTGGCCCCTGGAGCACAGAACACAGGGTGCCTCCCACACCCGGGGACAGAGAGCAGGTCAGCGCTCGTCATCCCGTTCTCTGACCTGGGTGAGAGTCGGCTCATGTCGACACCTGCTTTTCACCAGGAGCCTGCCTGTCCTTCCAGGGGACAGCAGTGGTGAACACTCCCCCAGGAGACCCCGGCCCCTCCCCGCACAGCCGCACCCCACCGGAGCTCACTAGCTGCGGCTCCGGCCGGGAAGGCACCAGCAGGCTGTTCGGAGTCTTGACTCCCCCAGACCGGCAGGGAGCCCCTAGGAGGACGCCCTCCGAACCCACTCACCTCAGGCGCATGGCACCCACCTCACTTACCCAGAACCAGGCTGCCAGCCTCGGCTCCCTGGGGCATCCCTGGGGTGCAGTCCAGCTCGGACTCAGGGTTCCCTGCTCCTGGGCCTTTGTCCTGCTGCAGGCCTGAGGCCCCAGCGTCATCTCCTGTGTCCCTCCTGGCCCGGCTTGGTCCCGTGGCCGGTGTGGCCACAGGCCCCGGCAGGTCCTCGGCCTCTGCTCCCCCGCCGCCGCTCCTCACAGGCAGAGGGGAGCACGCGCAGGCTCCTTTCAGGGTCTGTGGTCCCGACTCCGTCCCAGGGGCCTGGGGACTGCGCCCATGCTCAGCTGGGTCCTGCTCACCTGGCTGGGTAGCAGCTGGAGCCTCCGCAGGGGGTGCGGGTCTGAGGCTGCCCCCGGGCGTCTCCTGCACGTGGACAGGGATCCTGGGCAGAGAGGAAGATGGCCCTTAGCAGGCCCACGTCACTGCTGTCCCCGCGGCCCGCTCCCACCGTCCAGATCTGCCAGGAGCCCCCACACGGCAGCCACCGCGTCAGGACTGATGCCTGAGTACAAGGCTCTGCTCCCCAAACAGTCCTGCGCTCGAGAGGAAGGGTGGGTGGTGGGCCCCCCGCTTCCTGAGCCCTCTGCAGGGCTGGTGCGCCCGAAACCCTGCTCAGGGCTGGCTCTGACGTGGAGACCTTGCGCCCTCACTCAGAATCTTTGGGGAGCCCCTCACAAGTTCGTGAAGAGCCCCCACCCCGGGCCCAGATCCCACACTCAGAACCCTGGGGAGTCAGCTCTGCATTGCAGTCACCTGGGGAGCTTGTGAAAACTAAACAGACAAACAAAACAGCCAGTGCCGGAGCCGAGCTCCGGACTGAGTAAGTCAGAATCTCTGGGCATCAGTATTTTAAAATTCCTTCCGGGTGAGTCTGTGGACCCCAAGTAAGGAAAGGGTTCTAAGCTCCCGGAAGCTGGGCGCAGCCGGTGTCCTCGTGAGGCAGCCCAGTGTCCTCGTGAGGCAGCCCAGTGCGTTCGGACAGTGCACTCAGCCCTGCGGCTGCCGAGGGCCCGCCTCCTCCCCACTCACCGCGGAGGCGTGTCTTCACCACCGTGAGCTGCCTTGGCCTGGGAAGGGGGCCCTGAAGTCAGCTTCATGCCCTCCTCTGAGGGCAGAGGGGCAGCACTGCAGGGCGATGGTCCGTGCCCTGCACCCGGCACAGCCTCCTGGCTGGCGGGGGCCTCACTGACCCCGCTGGGCTCTGCAGACAATTCCAGGCTGGTCTCGGGGCTCCCGCCGGACCCCCCAGGAGCTTTGGCTTCTGCCGCTCTGGGCAGCAGCAGGTGTTCAGGGGGCATCTGGTCTGGGCCAGGGACTCTGTCTCCCTGCCCTGGCAAGGCCTCTGGCTGGGCGAGGACGTCAGATCCCATCCCTGAGGCGCCGACGGGGGGCAGCCGCTCCGCTGTCCCCTCGGGTAGGGCCGCCGTCTGGCTCTCTGCAGGGAGACAGGCGGGTGAAAAAGCAACCCCGTTGGCGGAATCTGCCCAGAAACGTGACAGAGAACACGCAAAGGGCCACGCAGTGTGCCGTGTTCGTCAGAGGCAGAGTGGAGACAGCCCGAAGGCCATGAGTCGGGCGATGGACGGAACCAGCGCACTTCCTACACGGAGCGCTCCGAGGCCAGGGCCGTGGGGGACAGACACCGGCCGGGCAGCTGTCTCAGCGTACGCTGCAGGTGAGCAAAAGCAAGGTGCACAGTGTGATTCCGCTCCGTCTAGGATGTGTGTGCACATGTGTGCCTGGGCGTGTCCATGGGCATAGGCATGTGCATGGTGTAGAGACCGCATCGCAGAGGAAGGTAAGACGGACTTTGTAAAATGGTTACATGTGGCAGGAGGAAACAGGACAGAAGTTCGACTTCTCTTGTGCCTTGTTTTGTCCATTTGACTTTGGAGCCATGTAAATATTATGCAAAGTTATAAAAGAAAATTTAACTTAAAAAAAAGCAATCCATAAAAAGTTAAAGCAAAGTGAAAAAGTAAAGCTAAGCATCAGGTTGGTGGCACAGGCTATGAGAGAGAAACTTTCCAAGTGACTTTAAAACAGCAAGTGGCTGTCCATCTCTGACAGGTACACATGAAAGACAGAAAGAACTGGGAGAAAGACTCCCAGGCAGGTTCTTGGGAATCACAGTGGTGGTGGTGGTGGTGGTGGTGGTGGTGGTGGTAGTGTGGTGGTGGTGGTGTGGTGGTGTGGTGGTGGTGGTGTGATGGTTGTGGTTGTGTGGTGGTGGTGGTGTGGTCATGGTTGTGGTCATGGTAGTGTGGTGGTGGTGGTGGTGTGGTGGTGTGGTCGTGGTGGTGGTGGTGTGGTCGTGATGATGTGGGTGGTGTGATGGTGGTGGTGTGGTGGTGGTGGTGTGGGTGGTGTGATGGTGGTGATGTGGTCGTGTGGTGGTGGTGGTGGTGGTGATGGTTGTGGTCATGGTGGTGGTGGTGTGGTGGGGTGGTGGTTGTGGTGGGGTGGTGGCTATGGTGGTGGTAGTGTGGTGGTGGTGGTGTGGTGATGGTCGTGGTCATGGTAGTGTGGTCGTGGTGGTGTGGTGGTGGTGGTGGTGTGGTGATGGTGGTGTGGGTGGTGTGGTGGTGGTTGTGTGGTGGTGGTGGTGGTGTGGGTGGTGTGATGGTGGTGATGTGGTCGTGGGGGTGGTGGTGGTGTGGTGGTGGTGGTGGTGGTGGTGGAGGTGATGGTGATGTGGTGGTGGTGATGGTGATGTGGTGGTGGTGGTGGTAGTGGAAATGGGGTGGTGGTGGTGATTGTGATGTGGTAGTGGTGATGGTGATGTGGTGGTGGTGATGGTGATGTGGTGATGGTGTGGTGGTGGTAGTGGTGGAGGCTTTAGTCTTAAGCTGTAGGTGTGCGATGTAGGATGAAGCGAAGGGGCCACACTCACCTTCGTGAGGCCCCCTGAGCTCGGCCTGCACACCCCTGGTGCTCAGTGCACGCTGTGGTTTGGCTCCTTTCTCTTCCTCTCTGTCTTTGTTCTAAAAGAACAACCATGAGCAGTATTATCATCATTATCAACATCACCATTAATATCAATATCTTTGTAATCATGTCATCAACATCACTGTCATCAACATTATGTCATCATCATCACTGTCATCATCATCATCATATCATCACCATCATTGTCTCATCATCATGTCATCAACGTCATCATATCATCACCATCATTGTCTCATCATCATCATCAACGTCAACATCATTATCACCGTTGTCTCATCATCATCACTATCATCATGATCATATCATCAACATATCATCAATGTCATCATAACCATCATCATCACTGTCTCATCGTCATCATGTCATCAATATCATGTCATCATCAACACCGTCATCATCATATCATCGTCATCACCATCAACATCACCATCATCATCGTCATCAAGTCATCGTAACTGTCATCATCAACATCACCACCAACATCACCGTCATCATCGTCATCATTAACATCAGTGGTGAGTCCCCAGGCATTTGCTGCACATCAACCATGTGCTTGAGCTATGAGTCCTCTCGTGTGTCACAGTAACACCAGAGGGTGGATACTGCTTCCTCACTTCAGACGTAAGGACACAGGTTTTCCCAGATCTCCTTCTTACGAAGTGAGCCATACATTGCTGGTGAGGGTAGGCCCAGCCCCTGACCGAGGGTCTAAACAGACTGGACTTCAAAGTACTTAGGCCAGGGAGGGAACATAAGTTTAATCTCAACATGTCGACTTGGATCAGACGCTATGGTGAGTAGAGTGTTGGTTAGGGTGGGAATCCTAGGTCAGATGAATCCATGCTTGCAGGGGGCATGTCTGGATCAAGTAATGACGCCACAGGCGAACCCCACGGTCGCCCTCTCCAGGACAGCAGTGTGGCCAGGGGCACGGGCTCACGACTCTTGAGCCCCCACCTCCACCCCTTGGCCAAGGTCCCTAACTTCTGAGTACTCACCATCCTCAGCTGTAGCACGGGGAGAATACCGTGAGCTCACAGGGTCTGTGGGGGCTGGGGGAGGGCACTGTGGGGCATGCCGAGAGGGGTGCCCAGCACCTGGCGAGTGCTCCCGAGCCCTGGGATTTTGTCCTGAGACAGAGAGCGCCGTTCCATGAGACCTGCCCTCGGCCTCTCCCTGCAGACTGCCGGCCGCCCTCGCCACCCCTGCAGCTGGGGGAGCTGGAGGGTTTCTCACAGGCTGGCTGCCTCCTGTCTCCCACACCGCAAGGCAGGGGCTCGAACCGACTGTCCTTTGGCAGACCTTGCGTGACTCAGATTGTCCCCTCCCTCTGTCTCTGTAGGCAGGCGCGTGTCCACTATTCTAGAGGACTGACACCTCGGAGCAGCTCGACCATGACACAGGCCTGCCCCTGGCTGGGTCTGCTCCTGTCCTTCCTGCAGGGACCAGGCTGCTAGTCACTGAATCCATTTCAGGACCAAATGGAGGCACTGGGCATTTCACAAGGCCTGAGGAGAACATGCTCAAAGTCCTGGCAGGATTTTTTTTTTTAATCCTCACCCGAGGACATTTTTGCATGTATCTTCAGATAGAGCGGGAGGGAGAGAGGGAGGAAGAGAGAGAAAGAAACATCGATCTGAGAGGGACACATCAAGTGGTTGCCACCGACACGACCCCAACCAGGGCCGGGGACAAACTGCAACCGAAGTACGTGCCCTTAGCGGGAACCGAACCCAGGACTCTCCGGTCCACGGGCTGACGCTCTAACTGCTGAGCCAAACCGGCCAGGGCGCTGGCAGGATTTTAAAACGTAACAGCTCGTGCTGGGATCTGATTCAGTTCCACAGAGAACACTGTGCCCTGCTCGCTTCGGAAGCACAGAGGGTCCCTGGAAAGTCTCCACACGGGTTTCAGCGCCTACGAAGCGTGAGCGTGCTGGGCCCGCGTCTCGTCCACTGCCATCCCGACACCTCCTGTGTGGCCAGCCTGGCCGAAGGGCAGAGGGATGGGGAAGCCTCCTGGCCAGGCCAGCAGGGGCTGACCCCTGGCTGGGAGACCAGACCCAGCCCTGCAGGGAGTTTCGGTACGTGTGTGACACACAGGTCAGTGCACTCGGGAAGTCTCTGACCTCCCCTTCCGGAAGCGCCGACACCTCTGTGACGCAGATGACAGCTACTTTCCCTGCGGGGTGAGGGGCTCTTCCAGAGCAATGAGAGAGGGCAAACCCTGGGATGGGCAAGCGGCAAGGGCATGACAGGCAGCTCACAGAACAGAAGTTAAAACCTACTGAGCCCGGCCGGGGTGGCTCAGGGGTTGAGCGTCGACCTGCACCAAGAGGTTGCCGGTTCGATTCCCGGTCAGGGCACATGCCCAGGTTGTGGGCCAGATCCCCAGTGGGGGGCGTGCAGGAGGCGGCCAGTCGATGTTCTCTCTCATCGATGTTTCTCTCTCTCGCTCCCTCTCCCTTTCTCTCTCTAAAATCAATAAAGAAAAAGAAAAAAAACTTAGAGATATAGAAATCTCTCTATTTTTGTTTATGTTAGGCATTTTGCATAATGAAGAGTTTTGCCTTTATTTTATGAATTAAAGAAAAAGTATTACTTTTAAGAAGCATATAACCACCCTGGCCGGTTTGGCTCAGTGGTTAGAGCGCCGGCCTGCGGTACAGAGAGACCCGGGTTCGGTTCCCGCTAAGGGCATGTACCTCGGTTGCAGTTTATCCCCGGTCCTGGTTGGTCATGTGGGTGGAAGCCACTCGATGTGTCCCTTTCACATCGATGTTTCTGTCTCTCTCTCTCTTCCTCTCTCTCCCTCCCACTGTGTCTGAACAAAAAAATGGAAAAATGTCCTCAGGTGAGGATAAAAAAAAATTAAAAAAATTGGATATTAATTCCAAAAAAAAAAAAAGAAGCATATAACCAATTGCTTATGTGGGGGAGCTCAACTCAAACAAACAAACAGCGAGGAAAACGAGCCTAAGTCGGGGTAGGGGGCTCGGTGGAGAAGGGAAGGGACAGAGAAGTACAGACTTGTTTTCACGAAACGGTCAAGAGGGTGTCAAGCCCGGCACAGGGACGATAGTCAACAGTATTGTAACAGGAAGTACGGGGCCAGGGGGTGCTGGATGTGTCCGGGGGAGCCCTTTGTAAAGTCTATGGTTGTCTAACCACTATGCTGTCCACCTGAAATGAATGGAAAAGAATATTGACTGTCAACTGCCATTGAAGAATAAAAATTAAAAAACAAGCATAAGACAGGAAAATTTGAACCCGGACTTTGGGCCAGGGACGAACCACAACTGAGGCACGTGCCCTTGGCCAGAATCGAACCCGGGACTCCCTGGTCCACAGGCCGACGCTCTAACCATTGAGCAAGACCAGCCAGGGATACTGTTTACTTTTTAAGTCTGATACTAGGTCAAAGAGCCCTTATCTTTCGGATTAAAATGCCAAAATATTTATGGAAGAAACCATCCAGTATCTCAGATTTGCTTCAAAGTACTCTGGAAAGAGGAGAATGGGTGGGGGCACTGGTCCCCAGAGCCAGGCTCACAGGGGTGATTCTACCAATCTCTATTCTATAAATGCTTGAAAAAATGTTTATACTAAAATGTTAAAAACGAAACAAAACACGCACATGCACAATAATAAGATTTCAGTTTTCATTCACTAGATGGGCAAAGAATCAAGAAGTTGGATAATGAGCTTCATTAGCGCCCTGGCTGGTTTGGTTCAGTGGTTAGAGCGTCGGCCTGCAGACCAATGAGTTGCGGGTTCGATTCCGATCAAGTGCATGTACCTTGGTTGCAGTTCATCCCCAGCCCTGGTCAGGTCATGCGGGAGGCATCCAGTCCATGTTTCTCTCCCCCTTCCCCTCTCCTCCCACTCTATCTGATGATAAATGGAAAAGTATCCTCAGGTGAAGATAAAAATAAATAAATAAAAGCTTCATTAGCAACAAGCACCCCCAGGTGCCACGGGTCGCACCCTAAGTGAGACTCGCTCCTCTGAAGGCCGCTCGGCTTTTGGACCTGCAGACGGAGCCCCTGGCTCAGCGGCCGCTTCCAGGGGTGTCCGCAGACTGGCCCGGATGGACGGTCACTGCGTCATTGTGTAACAGGTGCGAACCAGCCACGCAGATGGGCCCCCCAGGGCAGCCCTCTGCAACCTTGGGAACAAAGCGTGGGCTCTGTCCAGGTGTAAATGTCAAACAACGCCCCGAACCCAGAACGTACAGAAACCAAGGCCAGAGCAGTGGGGTCATCGAGTTAAAACGAAACAAAGGGAGAGTGCGCCCGACGTGCTTCCAGACAGCAGGCTATTTCTGGAAGGGTTCACTCGAAACGGGCACCGCTGCGGGGGTGGCCTGGGGCCTGGGGAACGGAGCAGGAGGGGGCTGCTCTTTACACCCCAGGAACGGTTTTCAGCCTGTGCACTGAGATGAATTCTCTTCTGAAGCTGAGGCTGGTTATCAGCGGCAAGAGCGGGTCCGTCTCCCCTGCAGGCTGGACCCACAGGGACAGTGGGGAGCAGCGGGAGGGGGGAGGGGCCCTGGGGGAACTGGCAGAGGGGTGGGGGGAAGAGGTCAGCTGCACAGCGCTGGCCAGGCTGGGGGAGGGGAAGGAAGGCACAAGCTCCTGAGACCTCAGCTTCTCTGCTGCCAGAGGCCAGTGGGTGCCTGCGGGAGTCAGAGGTGGTGGCTCCAGGCCGCGGGAGTGTTGCTAAGTGGTTGCCCCTTAGCTGTTCCCAAACAGAGTGTTGCCTCTGTACACCTCAAACACACACGCAGACACAAACACCCCCACCCTAGCCAAACCCATTAGCCAGCGGGTTGGATTACGCAACCCTTGGGAAGCGCAGCTCCCAGAAATGCCACACTCCACCCCCGGGCTCCGGCTCCCGCCTGGCCTGTGTCCTCCATGGGTCACTGTCATCACTCCTCTCCTTAGGCAGCTGCCCACTCTGCCCACTCCAGGTCAGGGCACAAGGTTAGGGACAGGAAGGGAGGGGCCGGGGCTTCTGAATGGGGGCTCTGTCAGGGTAAACTGACCAGCCCCATCTGCCTCCCACACGGGAACTAAGGAGCGAAGAGGAGTCACTGTATGTCCAGGAAGCTCCAAGGTTCTCCTCTCCCTCATGCCTGTCTGTCCCCTACATCGAGGTGCCCGGGAGCTGCTAAGGCCGCACAGTCGTCACCAGGACACTGCCTCTCCCTCTGCATCTGGGAACCCACCTATGACCTTCATGGTTCCCTCTCTGCTTTCCCCAGCAACAGGTCACACAGGAGGCACAAGGAGGACACAGGAGCCCCGGCCCTCCACCTGGCCAGCCTCCCACCAGCCCCTGAGCTGCTCCTCCAGCCAGAAGGACCCAGGGGGGCAGGGACTCGGGAACCAACCTCCAGTGGGGCATCGGCCAGGCTTCCTCTCCTCCAGGGCACACTCCCTTGCAGGATGAAGTCCACCACCTTTGAGTTCTGGAACACGGTCCCCACCAAAGCTATGGCCCTGTCCACGGCCACCACCACCCGGAACAAGGACTCGAGCCTGGCGCTGTGCTGGGCCGCGTCCTGCCGCACGGCCTGCACGAGCCGCAGGACCTCCGGCCACCCGGTCTGCGCGTCGGCTGCGGAGGCCGGGCCGGGGGCTCTGGCGGCCTCGAGCCGGTGCAGGCCCTGCTCCAGGTGGTCCATGCCCTGGCACACGCTCTGCAGCTGCTCCGAGACGTCTTCTTGGAAATGCAGGAGCTTGTCAACCTTCTCACTGAGCGCGTTCAGCTTTCTGTCCATGGTGGTGAGGCAGGCCTTGCCGGCCGCCGGCAGCCCTCGGGCCCCCAAACTCTCCTTGGAGGCTCCTGACATCCTGGCGCAGGCTTGACAAGGGTGAGCGGTCAGGGGAGCACAGGGCCCTGCTCTTCACTTGGGTGCTGGTGCCCGGAAGCTCATCATCCCCGGGAGCTCACAGCCAGGCCCGAAGTAGCACCCCACACCGATCGCCGGGGGTTCACGGAGCCCAGGGCCGGCAGGCTCTCTTTGAGCCGTTCTTATCTGCCCCTCTGCCGCGAGCCATGAGTGACAAGCTGGGTCTGGTCCAGGCCCTTCTCCTTGGGGCCCCCTTGACATCACGGCAGCATTGAACATTCTTCTCTGAGAGGGTGCTGATGGGCAAATATTTTAAGAATCTGCCCGTGGCAGGCCGGAGTTCGTGTCGCTGAAACTGAAGGTTAGGAGAAGGGGGTCCTTTAGGTAAAGGGCTTGAACACTGGACTCTGCGAGGGGAGGAGGGACCTTGGGAGACCCTGAGGAGCAGAGGGGTCCTGCCCGCCATACCCCCAGCTAATTCCCAATGGAAAGCAACACCGAAAATACACACGAGGCTGCTCTGCTTTGTGCCACGATGACACATTTGAGGCTCCTGCAAATTAGAAACAAAATGTTGACTCCGACAGGAGCCCGGTTGGTTGGCGTGTCGTTCTGATACGCCAAGGTTTTGGGTTGGCTCCTGGGTCAGGGCACAGACAAAACCCAGCTATGGAATGCATCCCCGAGCGGAACAACAACGCGGTGTTGGAGTTTCTTCTCTCTTTTATTGAAAACTATGTTTTTATTGATTGTTCAGAGAGGAAGGGAGAGTTAGAAACGTCCATCAGCCGCCTCCTGCACGCCCCCTACTGGGGATTGAGCCTGAAACCCGGGTGTGTGCCCTGACCAGGATTTGCACCCGGACCTCTCAGTCCATGCGACAAGGCTCCATCCACTGAGCCACACCAGCTGGGCTCTTCCTTTAATCCCTCTCCCCTTCATCTCTCTCTAAAATCAATCAATAAATAAAAAAATTTAAAAAGAGCCCTGGCCAGTTTGGCTCAGCGATTGAGCATCGGCCTGCAGGCCAGAGAGTTCCGGGTTCGGTTCCTGCTAGGGGCACGTACCACGAAAAAAATAAAAATTAAAAAAAATTTTTTTAAATTAAAAAAGAAATGTCGGTGCTCCTACTTTGCAGATGTCCCAAATGTGTTAGGCTGCCTGTGGGTGAGTCTGCAGCTCCCTCCCCACACCAGGCCCTCCGTCACTCATCACTTGTACCTCAAAATAGAAGTGAGGAACAATGGCTCCTGGGATGCTTGCCAAATGTCATCCCGCAGGTCATGTCCCTCACAGGACCCTTGGGGGCGGTGTGCCAGGGACCCTGGCTCCCCCAGCAGTGACTCCACTGAAGCAGACACAGTTAGGGCCTCAACGCCGGGGGCCTGGTTTCCTGTGGTCTCTAAGGGTTCCAGCCTCCAAGCCCTTGTTTCAGGTGGAACTTGGACAGAGCGTCATGAAATGAAGCCGACAAAACAAAACAAAACTGCTCGAGGGGACAAGTGGCAGGGACGCAGCGAGGGGGGGACACAGGAGCTGCCAGGCCCCAGGCTGCCAGGGAGCCGCCGGCGACTCCGGCGCCTGCAGCCCTCAGGGAGAAGCAAGGCCGGAGAGGGAGTGTGCACACGGCCTCCCCAGGGGAGCCCAGCTGGAGTCCAGGTGGCACCAGAGGGGACTTGGGTGTCCAGCTAAGCGCCCCGATTCTGAATAAAAGCAATCATGAAGTAAACTTTGCCCTGAAAACCTGACATCTAGAACTAGCTCTACATGACTTGGCTCCTTTAAGCTCTGGGTGACCCCTAAACACAGTTGCTTGCCATGTAAGCACAGCTGGACCCCAAGCCCCCTCACTGCCTGTCCTCTGTGGGGACAGCCCCCCTACGCAGCCCGTGCAGAAACCCAGACCCGTTTCTGGGGGCACAGTCCTAGGTGTCATTGATGGACCGGACCAGAGATGTTCAGAAGACTATTGTTATATTCATGGATATATATCGCTTCTTGGCGTTTTGGCTAAGATCAAGTGTAGGATCTGTTCTTATCAGTTTAATATATTCATGGATATAGTCTGTGCTGTTCACTGTGGTTTAAAACAAACACACCAACTCTCCTTACAAAAGCAATCTGGGGAACACTGGCAGGACCTCTCCCGCCTCTGGCTGACCGGGGAATCCCGCGTCCCCCGTACTTCCCGTGATACTTCCCTAGGGAACTAGGGTTCCCTGGGTCCAGTTTTGGGAAGCAGCTTTGGGAGCCCATCTGCCCATGCTCAACAAAGTCAAGCTGTTACCAGGCCTCAAGCGCCCACCTAATTTTTGTGTGCTTTATTCTGAGCGTACACAGATAACAGAGGACTTCAGAGGAAGCCCCCACGATGAAAAGGGAAGCCCCAAAACAAACAAGCAGAAACATCGATTGAGGAGGAAACAGAAGAGTTTTCAAACGGCTCTCATTGGCCACAGAGAAGTGTGAAAGGCTCTTCCGTCATCAGAAGAGAAGAGGGGACCGTGGGGGAAGGAGAGGGGACCGCGGGGGGGGGGGAAGGAGGGGGGACTGCTGGGGGAAGGAGGGGGGGCCGTGGGGGGGGAGGGGGACTGCGGGGGGAAGGAGGGGGGACCGTGGGGGGGAGGGGGACTGCGGGGGGGAAGGAGGGGGGACTGCGGGGGGGGAAGGAGGGGGACTGCGGGGGAAGGAGAGGGGACTGCGGGGGAAGGAGGGGGGACTTCGGAGGGGGGAAGGAGAGGGGACTGCGGGGGGGGGAAGGAGAGGGGACTGCGGGGGGGAAGGAGAGAGGACTGCGGGGGAAGGAGGGGGGACTGTGGGGGAAGGAGGGGGGACTTTGGAGGGGGGAAGGAGGGGGGACTTCGGAGGGGGGAAGGAGAGGGGACTGCGGGGGGGAAGGAGAGGGGACTTGGGGGGGAAGGAGAGAGGACTGCGGGGGAAGGAGAGGGGACTGCTGGGGGGGGAAGGAGAGGGGACTTGGGGGGGAAGTAGAGGGGACTGCGGGGGAAGGAGGGGGGGCTGCGGGGGAAGGAGGGGGGCTGCAGGGGAAGGAGAGGGGACTTGGAGGGGAAGGAGAAACACGGATAAAAAGATATGAATGTCACCGTTTAAAAGGTAGAGATTAGAAAGTAAAGTTGATATCCCAGAAAGCAGAACTAAAGGGTGGAGACATGTACACGAGGAGAGGGACCCACGGAAGTTGGACAGTGGTACCCGCGGGCCCACACCTAATGCAGTCGAGTTTCAGGGGGAGACATGAAAAGCAGGAAGGAACCCATCGAGAAACACTGTCTGCACGGGATTCTGGAACACAGGGCTACAGATTCCAGTCTTGCCCCGGCCCGTTGGCGCAGTGGTTAGAGCGCTGGCCCGCAGACCAGACTTGAGGGTTTGATTCCCAGTCAAGGGCACGGACCTCGGTTGCAGGTTCCATCCCAGGCTCTGGTTGGGGTTGTGCAGGAGGCAACCAATCGATGTGTCTCACACTGATATTTCTCTCATCTCTCCCTTCATCTCTCCCACTCTATCTAAAAAAATCAATGGAAATGTATCCTTCAGTGAGGATGGAAAAAGAGATTATGGTCTCTCCGAAATCTAAGAGAAAAAATCAGAACTGAAATCAGCATGCCACCAGACTTCTCATCCTAACAGCAACTGGACACGGAAAATGAGATCTGATGAAGAGATTTAAGTAGAAAGCACTTCCCTTTAGAGTTTTAAAGACACTGCACACTGTCAGAGGGCAGGATGAAGAGCATTAAGACTTGCAAAGGTGTAAAAAACATGTATGCCCTGCCCGGCCGGTGCGGCTCAGTGGTTGAGCGTCGACCCTGCACCAAGAGGTCTCTGGTTTGATTCCAGGTCAGGGCACGTGCCCAGGTTGTGGGTCCGATCCCCAGTGGGGGGCGTGCAGGAGGCGGCCAGTCGATGTTCTCTCTCATCGATGTTTCTCTCTCTCTCTCCCTCTCCCTTCCTTTCTCTCAAATCAATAAAGAAAAGTTATTTATTTTTTCTTAAATGTATGCCTTTCTGAGGAAGCTGTTTCGAGGATACCCTCCAGCACAATGAGGGCTGATAAAGGAAAAACGGAGCCCAGGACACCGACAGCTTCAACTGGGCCCAAAGTGCGGCCGGAGGACGGAGCGTCCACAAGGGGGGCGCTTCAGGGGAGAACAGCGCCCGATGTACTGCGGCGAAGACACAGGTAACGTGACAGGCTGTCCGGGTCCCCTGCCAGGGACGGCAGAGCAGGGCCAGCTGACGGCCTGGAGCCGCGCTTCCGGGAGTAAGGTGAGGATGATGACGCACGCGCCTCGTGGCCACGTCAGGTTACGTGAGAAGGTTCACGAGGCACCTGGATCCGCATCTGGCACATGGTAAGTGCTCAAATTTAGCCACCGGTGTGATGCTGGCATATGGGACAAAGGTGAACGAAGAAGTCAGAGACTCAGAAAATCCGAGTTCGTCTGAGAAAGAACGAGAGTCAAGTTCATCACAGTCGGCGGTGTTGGGTACAATGTGCCACAAAGTAAACGTGAAGTTACAATAGTGACGCACTGTGAGGACGGGAGGGGTCGTGGGGAGAGACCTGTGTCTCCACCTCCCTGACCAGACATCCCCAGATAACGTACAGAACTGAGGAGGGGCCGGGCAAGCACCAGGAGGGCGCTGGCCCCCAGGAGCCGCACGGGCCGGTTTGGCAGGTCGTGGGCACGCATCGCGGAGAGGCCAGGGCAGACGGGTGGCAGCCCCGGGCTTGGGGAACACAGTCGAACCCGGTGACCACCTTCCGAGCGAGGCAGCCCGTGCTTGGGGGAAAGGCGTCCTCTGGGCCAGCCGCACCCTGGCCTCCCCTGAGCTCTCTGCACCGTCTCCTCACCTGTGACAGGAGCTCGGAAGCTCAGGCTGGCGGAGAAGTCGGAGGCACACCTGGCCCAGCGCCGGCCCAGGGAACACAGGAAAACAGCGGAGATCAGGGCTGACCCCCACCCCCACCTCAC